TCCTTTCCTTGCTCATCCTTCTTCCTTCTTCTTCTTATTCTTTCTCTCTCTCTTTTCTCTCATTTCTTCTTCTTCTTTCAAACCCAAATCTGAGTTTTTCTCAAACCCAGATCTGGGTTTCATCACATAACATGGACACTAATCTCGAATATCTCGAATAAACTAAACAGCAAAGCCGAGATCTCCTAACAGAAAGGAATATAGATTAAAAAGAGTAAAGAATTTCTAGAAAAAAAGCAATTCGAGCCAAATCACATACAAGCCAACTGCAAATCTAATCTCGAAAATAATCAACACGAAAACCACTTAATCAACTCAGAAAATACACATAGAAAACACAAAATAAGCAAAAGAACAAAACCAGATCCATACCCTCCTTTTCTTCCCCTTCACCTTGATCACTTTCCTCTCCCTCGCTTTCACCTACTTCTTCCTCTTCACTCTCTACTGTTGCTACAGCTACAACAAGGGTTGAATAATTCCTTCTAAAATACCCATCATCCACCGACGCAGAACCCAGGCGGCCCCAGGCGTCCCCAGGCGTCGACAAGGGTGGACGTGGCCTCTTCAGACCTGCAATCTTCACGGACAGGCAAGGGATGGGAATTAGGGGTGGCGGAGGAGGTAACCGAGTTTGTTGAACCGGGCAGCGACTAAGTCGGCGAAAGAATCACAGGGCAGCCACTGGGAGGCTAGAATCGCAGACACAAAGCCCTACTTCTTCTACGGCCGCCGGAAGCCGTCTCAAAACCGCCCTGTAGTCCACCTTGGCCTCTTCTCCAACCACCAGACTCTCAAGGACCCCCAAACTCGTCCACCTGACTCTCAACCCTTCGACCTCCATAAATGGGATCCACACTACCTCTCCGAATCCCCATCACCCCCGTCTGTTCACCTGCCTCACCAAAACCCAAAATTTTCACCCATCTCACGCTTCACTCTCGATACCTTCTGGAGGAACGGGAACTCGGCCGTCATCGCCGAGCTCAAAAAGCTCCGCCGCGTTACATCTATTCTCGTCGCGTTAAATCAGAAAAGATGTATTGGCTGGGAGTTTATGCAGCGGATCTGGGCCAATTTTTCTTAATTGGGAGAAAGAAGAC